TACGTGAAGTCAGTAAACACAGTGTGGCACATAGAGCCATGAGTATTCTGCAAAGAGATGCTTTAGATCTGTGAAACAGACAGCGGAGGGATCACTTACACATAGAAATGTGAGCTTTAGCCCTCTGTGACAGGCCATGCCATCTTTTACTAGTTTGACACCAAAAGCAAGGGTTCTTTACATGCTATGCAAAAAAAACAGAGAAAAAAAAGACAATTTTATCAAACAATATCCGGAGCCTAGTGTGTGATCAGTATGTCACGATCTTTCTTCAAACACATCACAGATCTAGATCTTAGTTAGTGGTCATTGCCGGACACAAGGATCATTTTCTACTTAAGTGAATGGAAGTATTAACAGAAGACCAATATTTTGAAATTGCAGTCTCACAGAAGGCAGCTCATAGTTATATAATTCATCCTGGTTTTTCGGACAGATAAACACCCCCACGGTCCCAACACGACAAGAAATAATCACGACAATGAGAGCCACAAACAAGGCAGCCGTAATGAGCCTGCAATCTCAAAATGGATATGCATCCCTTATACTACGCTAAGTGTTAATACTTTTCATCCTGATCACACACTTTATCAGTATTTGCTAAGCTGTACTGTTACGGTCAAAGATTTCGAAGTACATATTGGTTAGTGACTGGTTAGAAATGTGACGTACTATGAAAGTTCATCTCCAGTGTTGGTAAAAATGAGAACTAAAATAAGATATTAATGCCACCTGAATTCTAGAAATGACATGAATTAAAGAACATCAAACATTAAAACAACCAATGATAACTTAGTAACGCTTTAAAATAAGATTGTTCAATAGTTAATCCTTTAACATTTATTAATCTAGATTGTTAACTTTTACATAAAAATAGTACATTTTTACTTTAAACATTTGTTAACATTAGTTTATTAGCCAACACAAACTAACAAATAAGCAGTTGAATCATAATTAATTTATAAATAAACATTAACTAAGATTAATTTTTAGTTCTTGAAACCTAAGGCATTAACTAATGTTAGCGTTTTGACCCTTATAGTAAAGTGTTACCCAACAACGTCAAACATTTTGGTTTCCCATACCAAAACATCAACAGCAATAACACTGAATTAAAATTCTATTTTTAGACACTTTTAAAAACATGGCAAGGAGCTTGTTCATATAATGTTATATCATTATATCAGCACAATCTGACAGGTAAAATAAAAATAAAATTCAGGTGCATTTCAGTTTAGCTACATACCTGTATAGAAATGAATTTGGTTTGTTAGTTGAATCCAAGCAGAAATGTTTACGTAATTTTGGGCTGATATGGAGACACTGAAATCACATTGGCAAAAACCCTGAAGTGCTTATAAATTATCTTCCGGAATGGCAACAAAAGTAAAAAGGCATGTATCGGTAAGTATTAAAAAAAATGCACTAAAAATATGAATTAGTTAAACACCATTTCATTAAAAA